TAGTCCTCCCCCTCCTCCTCCTCCTCCTCCTCTTCCTCTTCCTCTCCCGACGGACTCCGCCGAGCCCCAGCGATTGTCCATCTTTGGGTCAAATACCCACTGTGGTCAGGCGTGACGGCCGATTGTCAAAAATATATATATATATATATATATATATATATTTGTTTAAAAAATGTGCCTATCGGGTACTTTTCTACATGCACCGGTAGAGGGTGCATTCCTCCTTCTTCCTCCTCCTCCTCCTCCTCTCTCCTCCTCCTCCTGCTCATCTTCCTCCTCCTCCCTCTCTTCTTCCTCCTCCTCCTCCTCCTCCTCCTCTGCTCTTCCTCCTCCTCCTCCTCCGCCTCCTCCTTTCCCCTCCCCTCCTCCTCCTCCGCCTCTTCCACCTCCTCCTCCTCCTCCGCCTCCTCCTCACCCCTCCCCTTCTCCCCCCCTCCTCCTCCTCGTGTTCCACCTGCTCTTTCTCGTCGTCCTCCCCCCCTTCCTTCTCTTTTCCTTTCCCTTATAACGAACTTCCCCCTGTCGCACCCCGAAACCAGTTTTTAGGGCGGGCCGGGCGTTTCGCCAGAGAATTCCTCACCACTTTCGACTCTAAAAATCAACAACAAAAAGGGTAAAAGCTTCACAGATGGAGAACGGGTCGTTTTCAAAATGCGGTTCTCGTCTTAGCGCGGCGCACATTCCTTGTAAACATTTGCAAGAGTTTCACGGATTGAGGGCGCATGGTTTTCATGATGTGGCTCCCGCATTAGCGCGATGCACAATCTTTTTTGAACATTTGCAAGAGCTTCATGGATTGAGGGCGGATGGTTTTTTTAATGTGGCTCTCGCCATAGCGCGGCGCACATTCGTTTTAGAAATTTGTAAGAGCTTCACGGATTGAGGGCGGCTCGTTTTCAAAATGTGGCTCTCGCCTGAGCGCGGCGCACATTCGTTTCAAAAACTCGCAAGAGCTTCACGGAATGAGGGCGGCACCTTTTCAAAATGTGGCTCTCGCCTTGGAGCGGCGCACATTCGATTTAGAATTTTACAAGAGCTTCACGGATTGAGGGCGAATCGTTTTCAAAATGTAGTTCTCGCCTTAGCGCGGCGCTCAATCGGAAAAAATCGCAAGAGCTTCACGGAATGAGGGCGGCTCCCTTTCAAAATGTGGCTCTCGCCTTGGAGCGGCGCACATTCGATTTAAAAATTGCAAGAGTTTCACTAATCGAGGGCGGCTCCTTTTCAAAATGTGGCCCTCGCCTGAGCGCGGCGCACATTCGCGTTACAAATTTGCAAGTGTTTCACGGATTGAGGGCGGCTCCTTTTCAAAATGTGGCCCTCGCCTAAGCGCGGCGCACAATCGCTTTAAACCTTACGGGTGTTTCACGGATTCCCAACATCAAGGTTCCAGAAACTAGGTTTTGAAAGGATTCAGGATTATGCGGGCGCAGCAGTTATGTTCATTCGCTGTGTTGAAGTCCCAGGAATGGCGTTCTGGCACGATGCAGGATTGTCAAGACGCAACAGTCAGTTTGATCCATGGCGTTGGATCCCGAGAACAATGTCTTGGCATGTTTCAGGGTCTTCACACGGTTGTCTTCCAAAGATCCAGTTCCTTCTATGGAAATGAACCGTTTCAGGGGCCTATGAAGTGGGAGCTTGGAGGGAGGGTTTATTCCAACATCGTTGATGGCCATTGGGTTTACATTGGCCCTCCTTCTAATCCTCGTCCTCCTCCTCGTCCTCCGCCTCGCCCTCCCCCTCCCCCTCCTCCTCCTCCTCCTCCTCCCTCTCCTCCTCCTCCTCCTCCTTCCTCCTCCTCCTCCTCCTCCTCCTCCTCCTCCTCCTCCTCCTCCTCCTCCTCCTCCTCCTCCTCCTCCTCCTCCTCCTCCTCCTCCCCCCTGAGGAGGCAAGGCGGCCTCCGCCGCCTCCAGCAGCCGGACCACCTCCTCGCCCCCCTGCGGCGCGATGGCTAGCGCCCGGCACCGCGCCGGGCACAGCGCAGCATCCGCGGCCGCCGACCCAGGAGCTGAAACTGGGGCCCTGGCCCATCTGCTTGGCTTTTTTTGAAAATTCGGGGTTTCGACATTTGGCCTGGCCGAGGGGTAGGGTGGGTGCGGGGGGGTCTAGGTCTGGACCGCTGCTTAGTCGATCTGCTTTTACCTGTCGCGCAAGCAGACTGGGGGGGTCATGACGAGCCGCCAAAAGCAGCTGCCAAAAGCAGCCAAGATGTGGTCTATGGGGGGAAGGGGGGTGGCGGGGGCCCGCGCCGATTGGCGAAACAGTACGTAGGAAAACAGCGACCCGGGCGAGGGGCCAGTCTCCAGAGACTCGAAAGTATCACTCACTCACTCATGACAGACGCCCGAGAACGCTGGCGGTTACTGAGTTCAACTCGCGCGTGGCAGAGACTCGAATAGACGGCGCGCCCGGGGGGAAGTGAGAGGGGGCGGGCCTTCTCAGAAAGCTCGGAGGGCCTCGAGCCTTCTGAGAAGTGCTCTAAGCCTTTTCCAAAGACTCGGGCGACTCCTCCGAGAGCGCGGGGGCTTGCAAAAAGCCCCGCCGCCTTTTGAGAAGGCCTGCCCCTCTTCACTTCCCCCTCGGGCGCGCCGCCGATCGAAAAGATTGAGTCGGAGGTGCTTCTACGTTTTCAGCCTCTGGAGGGCATGATCGGGCCCTGGGGCCAACATGAATCGACTCGGGACGAACAGTCGCTCCTGGGGAAAAGGTCGAGAGGTCCGTGGGGGGGTCCCGAGACTCGGAAGCATCGAGTCGTCGAAGGTCAAGGGGCGGAGACGGACCAGAGCAAAACCAAGACGCACGCGCACATGAACTCACATGGGTTTCGAGAGGACGCGTCACGCGAGCGCCCGTGACATGAGGTCGGCCTGGCGGGCCGGGGGGGGTACATTCGGACGTCCTCTTTACGGCTCCGGAGGCCGGGGAGGCCAGGGCCACGCGACTCTCATGAATCATCGGAACATGTGGTAGCGCCAGCGTATGCGTGTCCACCGAAGCCCTGCGATGCGGCGCAGGCAGTGCGACGAGGACCGGCACAGGGTGCGTGCCATCGGAGCTGGACTGGGCAGACACACACTGGGCTAACACCACACGGCCTGGGGATCTCATCGAGCTTCCGCGCAGGGGAGGGGCCCAGCCAGGAGGGGAGAGTATCGGTTGAACTCGCTTTACGTCCTTGCCACCCCCCCGCCATATGAGACTTCTGCGGCCCCGATCGGGAAACGAGCTGGCGTGCGTAGCTGGATGCGAAACTCAATACAAGCTCAAGCAGTAGATCGAGCTGAGCTGACAACAGATCCTGGCGAAGGACCCAACCAACCATATGCAGTTTTCAATATCGTCGTTCCAAGTATCGCCTTCGGGGGATCTCCTCATGGGGCCAAGAAGCATGCGAAGGGTGTGCCGATATGGGGTGGGGCCGCCATGTGGGCGCTGCCACTAGGGCTTTAGGTGGAACCTACTATGGGGCCGCGAAGCGTCTGAGAGGTGCGCCGCGATGGCGCGGGGTCGCCACTGGGTCCGTCAGAGGAGCTCCCTATGGGGCAAAGAAACGCTGTACTGAGCGGGGGAGACGCATGCGAACACCGCGACTGGGGCCTTCGGTGGAGCTCCCGATGGGGCCACGGAACGCTGTACTGGGTGGGGGAGACGCATGCAGCTAAAGCCACTGAGGCCTTCGGTGGAGCTCCCCCTGGGGCCACGAAACGATGTACTGAGCGGGGGAGACGCATGCAACTACAGCCACTGAGGCCTTCGGTGGAGCTCCCGATGGGGCAACGAAACGCTGTACTGAGTGGAGGAGACGCATGCGAACACCGCCACTGAGGCCATCGGAGGAGCTTCCCATAGGGCCACAAAACGCTGTACTGGGCGGGGGCGACGCATGCAAACACTGCCACTGGTGCCTTCGGTGGAGCTCCCCCTGGAGCCACGAAACGCTGTAGTGAGCGGGGGAGACGCATGCAACTACAGCCACTGAGGCCTGTGGGGCCACGAAACGCTGTAGTGAGCGGGGGAGACGCATGCAACTAAAGCCACTGAGGCCTTCGGTGGAGCTCCCCATAGGGCCACGAAACGCTGTACTGGGTGGGGGAGACGCGTGCAAACACTGCCACTGGTGCCTTCGGTGGAGCTCCCTATGGAGCCACGAAGCGCTGTACTGTGTGGGGGACACGAATGCGAACACCGCCACTGAGACCTTCAGTGGAGCTCCCCATGTGGCAAGGAAACGCTGTACTGAGTGGGGGAGACGCATGTGAACACCGCCGCTGGGGGCCACAAGACGCTGTACTAATTGGGGGAGGCGCATACAAACACCGCGACTGGGGCCTTCGGTGGAGCTTCCTATGGGGCCACGAAACGCTGTACTGAGTGGGGGGGCGCATGCGAACACCGCGACTGGGGCCTTCGGTGGAGCTCCCTATGGGGCCACGAAACGAAACGCTGCACTGGGTGGGGGAAACGCTTCGGTGGAGCTCCCGATGGGGCCACGAAACGCTGTGCCGGGTGGGGGAGACGCATACGAACACCGCTACTGGGCTGTACTGGGTGGGGGAGACGCATGCGAACACCGCCCCTGAGGCCTTCGGTGGAGCTCCCTATGGGACCACGAAGCGCTGTACTGAGCGGGAAAAATGCATGCGAACACCGCCACTGAAACCTTCGGTGGAGCTCCCTAGGGGGCCACGAAACGTGTGAGGGGTGTGCCGTAATGATTGACTGCTGCGGAAGGCAGAAGCAGGGATGGGACGAGGGGGGGGGAGGAAGGAGGAGAGGAGAGGAGACGCGGGGCGCGCTCTCTTCAAAACGACGACCCAACACCACAGGATGGTTGAACAAAAACTGAACGCAAAGGAGACAAGCTGCCACATGGCTACGCACAGCTTTGCCTCATTCCAGTGATGTGCTCCACGCTGCAGCGCTGTGCAGTGAAGCGCGTGAGGCGCCTCGCAACGCACTGCACTCCCCGGCCCTGCTCTTCCCCCGACAGGATGGAGCTGCCGGACGTCGAGGAACATCCCGACGCGCCTCGCCCAGCCTGCACACCGCGGCCGCCGGGGCCCCAGGAAGCTGGGCGATCCCGAGGGGTCTCGCCCCGCCTCGCCCTGCCTGCCGCGACCGCCGGGCCCCCCACGCGTCCGGGTGTTCCCGGGGTGTCCGCCTCGCCCGCCCCGGCAGCTGCGACCGCAGGGCCCCGGATGTCCCCGAGAGTCCGGTGGCCACGTGGTGGGCAAGCGGGCAGAGCAGGCGCAGCCAAGAGGCCACCCCACCGAGAGGAGGCGTCGCGACGCCACGCCGCCCACGGACATCCAGAGCAGACATCGAGAGCACACATCAAGAGCAGGCACGGCACGGAGAGCACACGTCGAGAAGATGCACCAGCAGCAGGCGCCAAGAGCGTGTAGCAACAGCAAAAGCAAAAGAGCATACATCCAGCACAGACATCGAGAGAAGACAGCAAGAACACACATGAACAATACACGTCAAGCACAGGCACACGTAATCTGCACCAAGTGCACAAACTATGCATAGGCACCAATAACGTTCATTAAGAACAGTCATCCAGAACGTACGGAAAAAAAAACTCGCAACGTATGAAAAAGCTCCCATTCTGAGAAAACATCGTCAATGACCAACCAAACATACACAGAAAACCAGCACGTCATGCATGCATCAAGAACACAATACAGATAATAAAATGCCGCATGAAAAAAACAACGAAAGAACAGGCACCAATAACATACATCAATAGCGGTCATCAAGAACTGGTATAAACAGCGACTATCCACACACGACCAGGAAGAACCAGGGTCAAGATCAGGCACCAAGGACAGGCATCAAGAGCATCCACCAAAAATAGATTTCAAGAACGTACATCAAGAACACAATCGAAAAGAACCCACATCAAGAGCAGACGTTGAAGGCATGCACCAGTAACACACACACACATCACAAACAGGCTCCAGGAACAGACACCAAGGTCATACATCACGAACACACATCAATCACACATATACATAAATTACCAACAATAGCAACAGGTATGAAGACAAATCCGCCTACCCTTCGGCGTGTGGAAGACGCTGTCGTCATCGTCGTCGTCGTGTCATCGTCGACGTCGTCGTCGTCAGTCGTCGCAGAGTGCTCCTGCGCCCGTCACAGCTTCCCCCCTCATTTCCCCCAGCCTTCCTCCTCGAGCTCGCCAGCCACAACTAAAAGAAGCAATGTCGAAGGGAAGCGCTTCCCTTCATCCCTTCCCAGCAGGAGGGGGTCCCAGGGGGGGTCCTGGCGGGGCTCCCGGGGGGGGCAAGGGAGGCTCCCCGGGGGGGGCCGGGTCAGAATACCGTCCTGCCGCGGGGGGTCCTGGGGCCCAGAAAAGCCCCAAGACAACCAACGAGGCCCCCAAGACGGTCCAAGAGAACCCCGAATCGCCGAACGATCGGTCCAAGACGCCAGGGATTGCCTCCTCACATCACAGCCCAAGCAAGTGCCAAGGCGCTTGAAGACGCCTCCAAGAGCACACCAAGAGGGCCCCAGCAGGCAAAAGTCACTGACTTTCGGCTTCCCGACGCCCCCAGACGGCCCAATTTGCCACCAAGATCGGCACAAGAGGCCCCCAAGAGGTTTCCGAGACGGCCCCAAAACGACCCAAGGGGGCCCCAAGACGGCCCTAGAAGCCCCCCAGACGGCCCAAGAGGCCCCAAAAACGTTTCCAAGAGGATGCCCACACGGGAACCCGAACGAACAATTCGAGCCCTCGGCCCCGAGAAGCTTCCCGGAGGCCCCAAGAGGCCCCCACAAGGCCCCAAAAGGCCCCCAGAATCCCGAAGAAACCCCCAAGCGGCTCCCAATAGGCCCCCAAGATGCCCCCAAGAGGCCCCAAAACTGCCACCTCCGAGGCCTACGAGCGCGCTCCGAACAGGCCCACACAGCATCCCTGAGGACTCTGCCCCATGTCAGCGTCGTCGTCGCCGCCGACACCGCCGCCGTCGTCGTCGTCGTCATCGTCGACGTCGTCCCCCGTCAGGGTCGGTGGCATCGGCAGCACTGCCTGCCCAGCACACGAAAACTGAACATCAAGAGCATACACCAACCAGCCTGGCGAAGAACCCAACCACATGCAGTTGTAAATGCCGCAGCTGTGGGTAAATATCGTCTTCCGTGGAGCCCCCTTTATGGGGCCACGAAACGCTCTACTGGGCGGGGGAGACGCACGCGAGCTTTGCAACTGGTGCCTTCGGTGGAGCTCCCCATGGGGACACGCAGCGCTGTACTGTGTGGGGGGGGGGGGGACGCATGCGAACTGCGCCACTGGGGCCTTCGGTGGAGCCCCCTATGGGGCCACGAAACGCTGTATTGGGCGGGGGGGACGCATGCGAACTGCGCCGCTGGGACCTTTGGTGAAGCTCCCTATGGGGGCACGGAGCGCTGTACTGGGTGGGGGAGACGCACGCGAACTGCGCCACTGGGACCTTCGTTGGAGCTCCCTATGGGCCC